TCTTGTCTTTCACAGTGGTGGCCAGCTTGAACTCTAACTGAGCTTTGGCTGCATGAATTTTCTCCTTACAGCATCTCTGTAGTCTTCCCATGTTGCCTGTCCTTGCTTCCAATGTCCATACACTTCCCTTTTCTGCCTAAGTTTTAGAAGATCCCTGCTCATCCAAGCCAGCCTTCTGCCCCACTTGCTTGACTTCTGACACTTTGGAATTGCGTGGTCCTATGTTCTTAAGAGATGGCTCTTAAAAAGTGACCAGCATTCATGGACCCCAATACCTTCAAAAGCAGATTCCCAGGGGACCTTACTGACCAGCTCCCAGCAGCCTGAAGTCTGCTCTCCCCATACCCAGGGTCAAAGCTTTGTGGGCAGTTTTCCTCTTACCACCAACTATCTGAAACTCAACTACTTTGTGGTCACTATGACCAAGACAGCCACCAATCACAACTTCACTCATGCGTCCCTCTCTGTTTACAAACAACAAAACTAGAAAGGCACCTTTCCTAGTTATACCTGCACCAGCAAGTTATCTTCAATGTGCTTCAGAAATTTCCTTGACCTGTTTGTGTCCACTGTATGATATTCCCAGATGACATCTGGGAAGTTAAAATCACCCATAAGGACAAGGGCAGCTGATCTAGAGAGAACTCTTAATTCCTTGTAGAATAATTTATTGGTGTCATCATCCTGGCTGGGTGGTCAATAGTAGACTCACAAAGCAACATCCACTTTATTTGGTTTCCCCTTCATCCTTACCCAGTGGCTCTCAACTGAGTTATTGCCAACTGCACCATAAACACCATACAATCCAACCCCTCCCTTACATACTGTGCCTCCCCACCACCTTGCCTGCCCTGCCTATCCCTCCTGAAGAGCCTACAACCATCCATCATGGCACACCAGTCACAGGACTCATTCCACCAGGTTTTGCTGATGCCAATGATATTATAGCTCTGGGACTGGGCCAAAGCCTCTAGCTCCTCTTGCTTATTCTGCGTGCTGCATTCATTAGTTTAAAGATGCTTCAAATGTGCTCCAATGGACTCAGCACATTGTGGAGCAGGCTGAAGGGCCTTGCTAGCACGCTGTCCCCCAAACACTGGCATGACGCCCCCAGGCTTATCACTAGCAAGCCTGGTTTTATCCCTTTCCCCCTTCAAATCTAGTTTAAAGCTCTTTCAATGAGCCCTGCTAGCTCCTGTGCAAACATCCTTTTCCTCCTTTGAGACAGGTGTACCCTGTTGCCAGCAGGGCTGATGTCTTGTAGATAAACCCATGATCAAAAAACCCAAAATTCTGCCAGTGATACCAGTCACAGAGCCAGGTATTCGGTATATATTGAGTCTTCCTACATGTGTACATATATACATTGGGTCTTCCTGTTTCTTCCCTCGTCATTCCCTGCAACTGGATGGATAGAGGAGAACACTACCTGTGCTCCTGATCCCTTAAAAAGTTGTCCCAAGGCCCTGAAATCTCTCTTGATTGCCCTCAGACTTTTTGTTGCAACTTCATTTCTGCCTACCTGAAAAATCAGTAATGGATAATAATCTGAGGGCTGTACCAGGGTAGGAAGTTTTCCCATCACACCTTTAACCCAGGCCCCAGGGAGGCAGCAGACCTCCCTAAGTGAGTCAGGTTGGCATATTGGACCTTCTATTCCCCTCAGAAAAGAGTCGCCTATAAAAACGACCCGTCTTTTTTTCTTTATGGAAGCGGTTTTGACACAAGACGAAGGCCAGCTTAACCTTGGCAACACCTTCAAACCTAGATGGACCATCGTCCTTGTCATCGTTCCACTTCCATGTCAAGTTCCACTTCCAGATCCTATTATGCCAGGGCACCTGGGAAGATGGGAAAATCATGGAGGAGACGCACCTGCTGTGTCAAGCAGGAACTTGTCACCATTCTGCCCTATTCCTTAAGTCACCGTGTTCCACCAGGTGGAGAGAGGATAGGAAATCCTCCACGTCATGTGTCCTGTCTGCCTGACAGGCCTGTCCCAGGGAAGGTAGGGTGCAGTTCCAATAACCTATCTGTCTCCCTCAGGCTCCCAATATAGTGCAATGCTGTACTATGTTGACTATGCTGGACTAGCTAGTGAAAACATTACAATCCTGAGAGCATAGTACTTTTTACAGCACAATATATCTCCTATCTGCTTGTTCAGGTAACAGCAACAGTAATCTGGCTTTGTAATTTCTCTTTCTGTTGCCTATGCCTGAGACAATAGTTGTATCCTAAACTCTGCTTAATGTTTTCAGTCACTTACAGAAAGGTTGTATGTTTCTATATGCTCACAGACGTGAGTACCACAGAAGGAGACACATTCAATGCAACAGTTCAATTACATCCAAGATTGCAATTTCTCTCTGCATTCCTTACATCAACAAGCCTGAAACTTTCTTAGCTCATGGCCCTCAGTACTGGACAAGTAATGGGCTACTCGCAATACTATAACTCAAAAAAGAGAAAATCTGGAGAGAAAAAAATAGAACAATGCAGGAATTTATTCCTATTTTCCTTTTGATGGGGAGGTGCTGCTGTCATAGAAAAAATACTTTTTTTTTTTCATAAACTTATCATGTAAGTTTCTGTACTAAAAATGCTTGAATTGTACGACATCTGAAAAAAAAGATTTAAAAACAATTTGTAATTAATTACGTGCTATTATATTTAATTATTATATACGTATATGAATACTTTTTAACATACTGAACTTAAAATTTATGATTAATTCTATTTGCCTCAAAAGTTTTATGCAGCTTGTTCTTTTAGAATATTTCTCCCCTTCTCCATTCAACTTTTAATCTTGAGATTACAGAGTAGATTTAAGTTGGAAAATTAAATTAGTGTTATGAAGAAATGAATGAACTTTGAGAAATACCTTATAAAATCACGTCATCCACTCATGGACCACAGATGAACAGCTGTCTCTAGGGATCAGCCATAAAGCTAAAAGCAAATTCTACCTATCAGGTAGTCAGTAGTCTAGCAGCTGAATGACAACATTTATAAAATCCAGGAACATGATAGATTTTAACCTAGTTACAATTCTCAAAATTATGGTCAGTGTATTGACAGAATAAAGTCAATAAAATTTTCAGCACAACTATTTCTGCAAGATACAGGGTTAATACTGTAAATACATCCAAGTTTTTTTGCTTTTTTACCCATCAGTGTATTTTTTTTAATATATTTTTGTCAGTTTATCTCTTTTTTTATTCTGTTGCAGTGCAGCAAAATTTGCGTTTTCAAAATTTGTACATCTATGTGGATGTACAGATACACTGGAACTTTTTATCCTGCATATTTTAGAATCATTGAAATAATGTCTTGGATGTTTGAGAACACTTAAGAAAAAGATAATCGTTATGTAATTGAGACTGACAAAATTAGGAACCAATAGATTATAACTAAATGTTATATAATAGCATAGTATTTAATGAAAACACTGAATCATTTTCATAAAATCTTTCCAAGAATATTTTAAGCAATGCCTCCTGGAATTTAAAGAAAGAACATGAGATGTAAAGTGGAAGCTCTAAGACATCTTTTTTCAACCCTACTGTAATCTTGCCCTATGTCTCTCTAGAAAATGCAGTAATGCTCTTTCAAGACGGTCTACCTAAAGCTTACAGCTTATACAGTTACTGAAATGCGTGATTCCAGAGAACTGATCAGTAAATTAATAAATCAGTATTACATTTTGTTCTATTTTGGAACAGTAAAGAAGGAAGACTTTTCAGTTCTCCTCTTTACATGGACTCGTTTGATGGGATTCCAGTACCACCCTATGCAATCACCTAACAGATTTCTTCCTCTTGCTTCTGCTTGCTGAATGTTGGGACTTCAAAACTGATTCAATCACAAACTAAAAGCAGATTGAAATACCTTATTAAGAATAGAAAATTATTAATCTTATGCTTACACACATTGCTGCACAGCTTTGTTGAGGCCATTTTCTTTCAATAATCATATTCTCTTGCTGTTTTAACATTTTCCAAAGCCCAGGAAAGTAAGTATTAAACTTTAATAACTGTATGTATAAAACATCTCAAAACACTGTTTGATCTAGTTTAGGCAGTGGTAGTAAGTAAAATAGCAACAATAGCCAGAAGAGGTATTGAAGTTATTGTGTGTTTTCTGAATATTTAGAAATTAGTATTATATATACAGTTATACAATGGATAAGTGAATATTAATTTTTAAAAAGAGACACTATATATTTTTAAGCTTTTCAAAATTCTTCCGAAAGAAAGAATGGTATACACTAATTAATAATAGCTCATATTCCAAAATGCTATTGTTTATGAATCTGACCAGCTGGCATGATCCAGGCCATAACTTTGTAGTTGAGATAGGAACTGAAAATACATTGCAAACACAAGAAAGGTTTCCTTTCAACAAAAAGTAGTTCTGAACTAAAACAGCTGTTTAAGATTCTTGAAGCTGCCATTCACGAGTGAGTTAAGGGAGGAACTGGAAGCACAAAAGAATTTGTCCATACACTAAAAAACTGAAAGAAAAGGGCATAAAGAGGGTGTCTACCTTCAGGTAGTGCATCAAGAGCACATGAGTAAACATGTAACTCTCCTCAGCCACAGAAAGAGTGAAAGTGGAGACAGCTCTCCATTCAGTGCTTATCACCACTGGGGACCTCCAGTGAAAATTAAAGGAAAAATTAATTGAGTTTTCAATGGACGAATTTAGTGATCTTATTCTAACAGTTCTTAAGGAGGAGGGTGATTCCCCATTAACTACTTTCTATTTATATGTATGTTCCAAAACACTGTAAATTTTAGTATTCTAAGTAGAAATAGATCTCAAATCACAAACATCTGTTTCTGGATGCAATTCCAATATTTGAACAAACCCACCAAAATGAAAAATACTTAACCTATAAGGTAGAATTCTGAACATGACTGACTTTTCAGGGGATGGGGAAATTATTTGTCAAGTAACATAGAGCAGGCATTTGTGCCTCAGTAAAAAGAACTTACCCACTACTGACATTTCAGGAACACTAGCAGTGTAAATTTCTTCTGGAAAAGTTGGTTCATTGTCATTGATGTCATGGATTTTGATGACAAACTCAGACTCAGGTTCCACTGGTCTCAGAGTTCTTCTATTAATAGCTTGGGCACGCAGGGTGTAAAAGGCTTTCTCTTCCCTGTCAATTCTCCGAGTAGCATGAATGTCACCTGTTTTCTCATCGATTATAAAAAGAGTACCAGCCCCATCTCCTGACAAAATGTATTTGAGGGATCCATCTCCCTTGTCCTGGTCCGAATGAAGCTGTAAAGGGATAAAAATAAGAGCATTTTATTTAGAAGTAATGAAAAGGTATTGGTTTTTTTTGTTTTTTTGTTTTTTTTTTGTAATATATTAAATCATTCTGAGTACAACAAACTTGTTTAATACCAATAAAATAAAGTAATTTTCAGTTGCCATTGACTGGTAGTTATGGTGTCATACTGAGGCATTTGTTTCCTAACTTAACTCCTAGAATCTTGACTGTTGTGGCAGATTTTAGTTTTGCAGCAACACCTGTTCTCTGCTAAGAAACCTCTGTACCACAATTCTTAAAGAAGATTTTATGTTAATACTGACCTTTTCCTTCCTTGAAGAGATCCTATTAAAAATTCACAGCCTGCTGTGCTGGTTGTAAATTCACTAAGCAGATAAAGAACATGGCAGAATACATGACAGTTAAGGAAAATAGAACAACTGGTTCCATGTCATACTATTTTTTTTTATTCCATTTCATATTATTTATATTTCTCCTAAATAGGAGAACATTTCATTTTAAGTCATTATAATTTTCACTTCATCAACTAATGTAAATAGCTTAAAGGAAAGAAACAGATTTATTAAGCATTCAGTATTGATTTAATACCCATTATGTAAGTAATATAAAGCTTAGCTTCATCTATTAATGACCTGTAGTACTGACTGACTTTAGTATATCCATAACAACAACAAAAAAATCCATTATCTTGCCTTGTTCAGTACAGTAATGTTGTTGGATCATTTCATCTTTTGGATGTGTGTACCACAATTTCTCTCATGACCTTGCTGGGAAGTTCCTTCCAATCTTGCTGATTTCATAATTAACCAAAAGAATCTGGCATTCAGATTTATTTTCACCATGAAATGTATGCTTTTTTATTTTGGGGACAAGTAGAAGGGCTGATCAACAAAATTAAGTGCAAATATAAAGACTTTTTAAAAATCACACTCAAAAACTATTAGAACGTTCCAAAAAGTTTAAGACAGAACTAGCATATTTTTTCCCTCTCTAAAAATTACTTGAACACGCATTAACAACATCAGTTAGAATTGCAGTAAGATCATATTTAATCATGTGAAAGCTTTTTGTTAATTTAAGCTCACATTTCAGGTCATGAAAACCGTTATACACGTAGCTCAGTATAAATATCTCCCTTGGCATGCAGTCATGGAAATATTTATCTTTTTTGTCAGAAACTGAAGTCAAACAATAAACTTCTCTGACATGAAACATTTTAAAATACTGAATGTTTCCCACACACTTGCAATCTGTGGAACAGAAAGAGCATACGTGGAATCTTGGATCAAAGCAATTATGATAGTAATTTAGAAAACTATCATTGTTCTGAACTTTGATTTTCTGCATAAAGGTTTTCCTATTTTCTTTCAGTTCAGAAATAAGCCTGAGAAACACTGTAAATATTTATCAAATAATGACAAACTAAACTGCTTACATTACATATGTTGTCCTGGTTTCAGCCAGGATAGAGTTAATTTTCATCACAGAAGCCAGTGTGAGGCTGTTTTTGATTTGGGATGAGAAAATATTGATAAGGTGCTGATGTTTGAAGTTGTTGCTAAGCCATCAAGGAGAGTCCAGCTTCTCATGCTGGGCTGCCAGCGAGCAGGCTGGGGGTGCCCGGGGAGCTGGGGGAGGGCACAGCCAGGACAGCTGACCCAGGCTGGCCAGAGGGGTATTCCATACCATATGACATCATGCTCAGTATATAAAGCTGGGACGAAGAAGAAGGAGGGGATGGAGG